CAATGGAGTTTGACAGCCCTATTGCTAGCAATATGCCCTAGGTCGACGTGGTTTCCCCTGGAAACCATCGTGAACAATTCTTGTTGAATTCGTTACGATGGGCTAACTGACCTGCTTCATCCTCACCTACCATCTTTCACTGGTGCCTCGCCGGTGTATACCGATAGCGTGGGTGGGACTACCATTCCATTATCATCCATTAAAAAAAATGACATGTGACTTGATGTAAAAGTTCATTTGAAGACATTTTAAAATGCATAACTATAGCATTTATAAGTTTAAGAACTGAAGTCGAACTAGCATTTTATAATAATTAGTTGATAAATTCAATAAAATAACAATTTATAACAGAGCTACAATAATTGAGTCTTTCATCATTGTGATCTCAATTCCGAACCTCACGCGAGGTTCTAAGAAGATGTATGGGATACACCCCGCTGAGTCTTCGCCCGAAGTGTCAAAATGTCCAAGTTAAACCACCCTAAAGACCCCACCAAGTATTTCTCGATCGCCCAAAATCCTTTTCGAAGGAAATTAGACCTTTGCCATCAGTCATAAGATGTATATTTCAGGTTTTGTACTAGTAAAATTAAGATTGTAATAATGCATTTGCGGTGCCTATTCTATATATCGCGAGATCGATCTCTTCGTTGCATTTATGTTTTTGAGTGAAATCCATTTAATAGAATGTTTACGCCTGTGACGATTCCAAGAAGGTATCCCGTGAAATCGAGTTGTCGTCAGGTGTCGCGTTGGGAGATGTTAATGCGATTGTTCGGTATTAATATCATCGATATCAATTTAATGTGATGATTTATTTACTATGTATTTTTATATAAATTAGAATAGAAACAAGCTGGGAGCCCATCATGATTTAAAACGGTAATAATCACGTATGGACATGAAGAGTACCACGGATTCACAACATATACTGTAATGCCTATAGTATCACTTATATATTGTCATTCCTACATGACGGTTTAAGGTGTAATATCTCTGAACCATGTGTACGACAGAAGTACTCTATGGAAATCTATACTAATATATAAAGTGGAAGAGTATGTTTGAATGTACTAATCTTGGGAACTACTTGAAAAATTACTTTTGCATTTAATAGCTCATTTCTTAAAGAATGTTACAGGCTATTCAACGTCACGATACGATCACGAGTGAATTTACGGATACAGCTAGTATAACTCTTCTTTTGTCTGTCTTTTTCTTCTAGACATCTTTATTTAGGTCAATTACTTTTTTTGAATTGTTTGTATTACATGTTAAATTTAGATTTTACAGATAGACTTACGACCCACCCCGGCTTTGCACGGGTGCAATGCTGATATTAAATAGCGTCGGCCGGTCGGTACATTAGAAACCTCTAAAATTATCTGTGTTTCTCTACTATATAATGCATGTATTATAGTTTTGAAGATCTAAGCATACGTAGAGACAGACAGACGGGAAGCGACTTTGTTTTATACTATATTTAGTCATGAACAGACAAGAATTATAAAAAATATTGTTTTAGCTTCTATTACTCTTATTAAAACTAATATTATTATAACCACTCTTATAAATTTTTCTTAAATACTTATTTCTAACATTCTACGAACATCGTCTATTTATAATTTTCTTATACATATTAGTAAGATAAGATATATAAGATAATAAATAATAAATATATACGGACAAATCACACAGATTGAACTAGCCCCAAAGTAAGTTCGAGACTTGTGTTATGGGATACTAACTCAACGATACTATATTTATAATAGATACATATGTAGATAAACATCCAAGACCCAGGACAATCAGGAAAAGATCGTTTTCCATCATGACCTGGCCGGGGATCGAACCCAGGGCCTCCTGTAAGAGATGTAGTGTAAGAGATGTAGATATATAAACAAATGTCGTTTAAACTATAAGAACAATATTTTGTAAATTGATTTGGTGTGTAAATAGCCAAGGTAGTAGTAGGTAGTACCCAAGGAACTTCCTCATTATTCGGATTGACAAACTAGGTAGTTGAATCCTGTTATAAATTTTCAATTAACATTATCAATTCACTCTTGCGCCACCTATCCACTTCTATCTGTTCTCCTTTAACCAAAGGTTCTCTAAGAAATTGCTCTAGCGATAAGATCGCCTTTTGTACCTGTATGTACATATTTCTATCTGTATTTATGTTACTGTATTTCTCTTGGATTATTCAATGGTCATGGTATATTTTTATGTTTCTTGTGCAATAAAGAATTAAATAAATAAATGATGTATCTTTAATCAAATTACTGTGTTTGTTATTTTCAATTCGAAAAAATTATCTCTTAATTATCGGTCTTCTTTCTTTCTGTCCTTTTATAAATAATCCATTTGTAGGTCGCGCAATTCGGTTATTCGCGTACAGCTTTATTTTTATAACGTTATTTGTTACAGTAATAAATGTAATTATTATATTAGGATGTTTAGCAATAAGAAAATTAATCACTGCTAAATTAATAGAATAGTGGTATTAATTTTAAATTGTGTAAATTCAGATATACTTAACTACAAAGATAAATTTTTGTTTTACATTATTTAATTTGAAATACAGATGAAACCTGGATATATATCTGGGTTCATAAAAGTATAACTTCATGTTAACTATACATTTAGGTTTACAATTTGTGAATTTGGAAATTTACCTATTAGTCTAGAACACAGAAGAGCTAGAGATTTATATGAATACTAACAAAGCAACGGTGTCATTACAAAATTTCGTCATGTAAACTTATAATATTCAGGTCGCATTGTGTCTGAATTCCGCATCCCGTGTCGCCTGTTAATTTAGTTAGCAAGGTAATGTTACGACTAGAATCTAAGCGTTAGACGAAATAATCTAAGACCTATGTTATAATATTATTAATAATATATTATAATAACTAGTAATTTGATGTAGAAGAATATTAATTTAATAATTTTTAATTGTTGTACTACAAAAAAACACGCAACTATTTAAGCAAATGGGTCTATATATAACAACCTTAGATAACAATACTACGTTAAGCATCCATTATCTGTAGTCTGTCTTAATAAAAAATTTATGAAATTGTAAATAAATTAATAATTGAGTCGACTATAGGAAGGTCTAATGATGTCCAATAATATTGCTAATTATAGTTCCATTAATTGATTCAATGTTTCAATTTGTCACAAATGTCACTTAGAAAGTGTTTCTGTGATAATTGTAACAAATTTTGATAACCTTTTTATTGTTTTATTGAATCAAATCATATGAGGCTTATAAAATCAAAGACAGCTAAATCCAAGTCCGCCAAATGTACAGGAAACTACAAAAAACAAATATTTTGTCAAGGATATGGAACGATAGTCTATATTTTAAACCAGATGAAATAAAATTAGAATATTAGTAATAATTTGAATCTTAATTAATAGAATTTTTAATTAAGAGAAATATTTGAGTACAGAGTAAAAATGAAATTGATTTTATGGCTTTTAGCTGCCTTTGATTTTATAGGCTTCATATCTAGTTTTTTTTTTAACTTATCACAATTTTTGTTTAAGCAATACAAAGATAAGTTTAGGATTATTAAAAGACTTTATTAAGTTTATTAATAGAAGCACAGTTCGACTTGAATGTACTTAAAAATTTAAAAATAAAGACTATGAACCGAAGCTTATCGAAATGTGGCAACATTGGAATTATGAGTATCTGTCAATTTTCAAAAACAATAGAGTAGTGGTAGTATCCTTAGATTATAGAGTTTACGTAGTACATTATACTGAGGCTATGGTAGTAACAATTTATCCTCAATAGGGGAAAAAACAATTGGACAATTTTAAATATTATTATTTAAAATGTACTCTGATAGTGAATTAAAATGTAAATCATGGGTGTAATAAGAATTTTATTATTCTCTCGTTGAAAATTTAAACCATGTTTGCAAATGTATATCTAGATTATATAGATAAACAAGTGTTAAAAACGTTTCCATATTTAGTCAGCTAAATTAACATTTAACTAATCAGCCAATAGTTCAATTTCGAAATATTTGACCATTACTGAATCCAATTTAAGACATTTTTTTTTTAATTAAGACAAAACGCGCTATATTTTTCAGTGTTGCAAGTAATTTAATTTTTTTTTCTGAAAATTAACAGATAATGCTGACTTAGGTGATCTTTGATACCAATGCTCTGAAATAAATCTACTTTCAATTTTACTTGTACTTTTACTCTATCATCTATCATTTTGTTGAAAATAATTATGAAATTATTATATACAGTGTAAATAGTGGCTATTTCGTGCAGGATAACTAATTTCTCTAGGTGGTGGTTGCAGGACTCGGCGGCACCCGCTCAGCCCGCCCGTTAAATAAATTCATTAGTTAAATCGCTGCTGGCGGCATTTTATGTCGGTAACTTCAAAGGCTGAACCCGCCGTCCTGCCGGGGGCGCGCCCGCTCGAGTTTTTACCAAGAAAACTCTGTAAACAAAATGATATGGTGCGTCCGAATGTTTGATCCGCCTTTATTATCTGTATACAGAGTGAATGTTTAGTCAGTAAACGCCCTCTGTTTGTGGTAATTGTGGGAATAATAATTTTTGGGAGTGCGAGTAAACACTGCCATGTAATTGCAAACGTCACCAGCCAGCTCTATTGTTTTCTATTTGTACCTTAATAGGTACCTTTCTATTAATAATATTGATAATTATTTTTGTCAAGTATAAATACACTACTAATCTTTTTGTTTATATTAACAAATTGTCAGCTATATTATGAATGTAATAATTTAGATAACTTAGAGTGTAAATGTAACTCATGGTAGCAACGCATCTTCATTCAATGCTTTTATTTTGCCGGACTACGCAGTTCTCTTAAGTGCGACAAAGATAGATATATCACGTGTGTGGTCCTCGAACGAACCTGTTCGGATATATTCGTCATTATTCGGTTATAGTCGGCCCCCAGAACGGCAACATAACCGATCAAATCATGATGGCGGCTCCACAAACATTCGGTCTACGCATTCAGTCAGTACTCGAGCCAGTATTGCTCAGGTCGCGCTGCTGATGACACGTAAACGTGGTGTGACTATTTAATGAAACTTTGTGTCGGTTCGTGTCGAACGGTAAAGTGATAGATAGAGTGAAGAATCAGAGTGTACAGTGAGTGGTTATGTGGCGGCGAGTGATATGACAGCGTGTGCCGCCAGACGGACTCCGGCCGTCTTCATGAGGATACTGGTGACAAACCTGGCCCCGAGATCATGGTGGCTCCCGATTCCGAGGCTCCTTCGAATCCTCGGATAACGAGTACCGTAAACGAGAGTCCCTCCGCCGCCGAGGCGCGCCACAGCACCGATCTTTATATACGTACCAGCTGGGTGGACGCTGCCTTAGCACTCTCTGAACTCGAAAAGGTGCAGTGTTTCAATATAATATTAGTGGGCAGTGTCAATTTTCAATTGTCAAATTGCACGTGTGATTGTTTTTCTGCGAATGTCAATCGCGCTGTAGTTAGAACGCGGCAGCGCGGAACAGTGGCGCTGACTAGCGGTAATTGTGTGTACTATCAAGGCCGCGCGTATTATAGAATATTGCACTACAACATAAGATAAACTCAACATTCCAGTCTAAACAAGTCGTTTTAAAGATTATAGTTCACTCGGTATTCAAATTTAAAAGATAGTTAAAATTATAATACAAATTTGAAAAAACTATCCTTACATAAAATATCATTATTGTATTTAAATTTACACATTAAGAATCTAATTTAAAAGTTTTAAATACTATACTTTATCTACTTTCTAAATAAGTATTCGAATTTCTAAGAATTCATGACTGACGTTCACTTCTAATCTAATAAACTTTCTATACTGGTATTCTATGAAAGATGTCATCATTTTGTTAATTAACTTTCTGTTTTACATATTATTTATTGTAAACATACATGCTATATATTACGATGCAAACATTGTACTTTAAAATGTACCTAGGTATCCACCTATATTATGGCATCAAGCGAGTTCTGAGAAGGTTGCGCTTTCTCAGAAGGCTGCACACTCGGTGGTCCATAAGATCCACACAACTGCGGGTCCATTAGCAAAACCTTCCCAGTCTGTACAAAAAGGCGCCTAATTTTCTCACGTACAATAATTACTAAAGATTTCTTAGAAAGCGAATTGCAAAATATTACGAATTAGGTATTGATGTAACGTAACTTTACCCAATAAGAAAATATTTAAAAAAAAAATTAAGATATGAAGCATTTCACATCTTAAAATTGTATTTAATAATACAATTTTAGAATATGGACTACTTTATGTAACTTACGTATCTTTATGGATAATGGAGAAACTGGCAGTCATACATAAGATGAAGCAATTAAGGCGCAGCGGGCGCGGGGTGCTGCGCACGCGCAACCCACTGCCGCCAATAGAGACATCAACGCGGCGCGCGCCGCCGGCATTGCATTTGATGATGCGCCATTAAGTTATACGTGTAAATTTTACAAAATTACATAATAAATTTAAATGAAAATAACAGTGTTGTATGCAAGAATACGTTTCAATAAAACTTAACTAATAATTGAAATCGTATCTCTAAAATTTCATCATTATTAAATAAAGTCTACATTTTCATATAAAACATCGTGATTTTCATGAAATTTTGATTTTATTTCAATACTTAGTATTTTCCGTTACTATACAGCCTAATAATGAAGTTTATAATAAAACTATATTGGTTATGCGTAATTTTGATTGATACGATTGTATATTAATATAACTAATATTTAAATTACACATCTTAACATAAATAAAAGAATGCTATTCCACAAAATTTTATGTCTGACGGGACCGCACAGAGCTTGACTCGTGGAATTGAGACATCTTGTGGTTTCCGATCGTTACATCCCTTTCTTTCCCATCGAAGGGTCATATTCTTTCCTTTTCCGTGACTTTGATGCTTCATCTCTCTCCCACTAGTTTTTCCCATATATTGTTTGTCTTCATCCAAACACGGAGCACGATGGCGGTCGGCAGCTGCGCTGGAGACCTATAAATGATTATACACCCACGAATGCCCACGATTTGGTGTGTTGAAGGGGCAAGTTTAAGGCTGGATTTCTGACAGAATGTTCTAGTAAATATACCGCTTATATCAAAATGCGAATTTATTTACATTTTTAAAAGTCGAATACTTGTAATTCAAATACGAACTTTGGTAAGCGCTACGATACGCCACAAGCACGACTTCTGCTATCAGATTACACTATGAATCGTTTAGCCAACCCAATGAACACGGCAACACGTGGACACGGACACACATCGTTACACATTTAATCATTTTTCCTCATCATTACACTTTGCTTCTGTGCCAGTAGCAGGTTGTACGCCAGCTGGATTAATAAAACCTACAATTACCTACTGTTTTTTTATGTCCCTTGTGTTTACCAGATCTTTTGAGTTCCTAGAAATTATTGTCAGAGCACCAGATTCTTTGAATTAACATTTATAAACATTATTTTGGCGACATTAACAACAAAGTAACTTTAATTTCACCGGTTTGTATATATGTAGTATAATGACGTTCAATACATTACATGTAACTATCGTGTGTACATTTCATTGTTATTGGCGTGTTTGTTATAAATTTTACATATCTTAGCAAATCTCAGTCGTTATTATAACTAATATTCAATGTTATTAAATTTTATATCTTATTTCCAGAAGCCACATCTAGATTAATTGTAGCTGCAATATATTGTAATGTTATAAAAAAACAGTAATACTATAACATATTTTATCTCACCTAATGATGTCTAGTGTGTTACAAATAATCAATTTCAAGTTAGCAACAAAGGGCCAATGCTCAAATGCTATTCTCTAAATATACCTCTTCATTAATTTAATTTTAATGATAATATTAATACCAATTCTGACATTTTCTAAAATTAACTTTAATGTTACAAGTACATACAATTTTATGAACAATACATTGTAATGTTACTTCTCGTAAAATTATTATGTAATGAATCTATTTGTGTAATAAATCATCTATATATATATATATATATATATATATATATATATATATATATATATATATATATATATATATATATATTCAAAAACCTTAGAACAATCTTCACATATAATAAAATTGTAAATAAATCGTGTCCATGTAAGCAGAACGCAAAAACTATAATATGGATTTGGATAAAATTTGGACATTTACAGGAAACAGGTATAAATTTTAATTAATTTTATACCTTTTTCAATGCCGATCGTTTTTACTACGCTGAAATGTCTTAATTCTCATGGGAATAGTTAATAATAAAATTAATTTTTAATATTTTTTATTTTATTAATGCAAAGTTTATATACTTATTTACTATTAAATATATATTAGTAGTATCGCATTCGACTATTCTGACCCTTCCCTATGGTTGACTGGGAGAGAATGCTTTTAGCATTGAGTCCACCATGTACACATATTTGTACTAATGAATAAATAAATTCCGCCAATTCTTTGTCTTCCAGAAGATAGTTTAATTGTAAAAACAATTTGACTTTCAATGTATTTTGTAGAGAATACTTGACTGTTATAATGACAGAGTAAGTGGAATCTTATTTGCATGATTAATGTTTTCGTGCATGGCACATTTTTATAATTACGTACGAATTTTGATTATCTTGTGGCATTAAACCTCTTAACTATCATTTCAAATAGACACAGTGATTGCTTTACTGTATCACTTATGTTATATATTGGCAGGCTAGGTTGATCCCCTCTCTTCTTTGTTAATTATTTGTGGGTAGTACAGAAAACTTAGATGAAGGCGCCCTAGTAATAATTTCTGACGACTGTCCATATATGTATATTACTATGAAAAAATAATAACAGAATTATTTATCCAGATCCAGAGCAATTTTTTTTTTAATGGATGATAATGGAATGGTAACCCCACCCGCGCTATCGGTATACACCGGCGGGGCACCAGTGAAGGATGATAGGTGAGGATGAAGTAGGTCAGTTAGCCCATCGTGACGAATTAAACAAGAATTGTTCACGATGGTTTCCAGGGAGAACCACGTGGAGGTCGACCTAATAAGGCATATTGCTAGCAATGGGGCTGTCAAACTTCATTACTAACAATCCCTTTCCCCCCGATCAAGAGCTATTAGCTTAGTGTAAAAAAAAATGTAGACAGTTTTAATATATAAAATGGCGACGATTTTACCTACGGAATTATTATCAAACACTATAAAAAACTGACCAAGAGCATGTCTCGAATACGTGAATAGTGTTCCGTAGTCGGTTTGTAATCCATTTTATTGAAAAATTTTTGATCGCATTCAAATCGGTATAATTAAATGTAACCTCATTCGATAAGATCTTAAAAAGAAAAAACTGCATTAGAATGTTGGAGAAGTCGGGAAAAAGATTAAGTACTTACTGTTTTTTTTATGATTTATTACATTTACCTTGCCTTCCAACATCTTGCTAAAATTCATGAATTTAGTATGCAAATATTATAATATGCACACACCATACATGATGAAGTTGTGTTTCTATTTCAATAATTTTACTAAGAAACCTACATGTTGTTTTTTCGTCAAAAAACGTTCTCAAAACAGCATCGAAATATTTTGCAAAATACCGTATCTGGCAATATATCAATAATTTAATATAAGCGTTTTATAAACGAGTTTGCTATTGCTAGTTTCAAAACTAGTTTTACGCAAACATAATCTAGGTCATAACAGGGATTTATATTTATAAATCAATACTTGCATAAACACACCACCCACTATGGATTGTCACACAGATGAAGAATTAATTAATAACATTTTTTTTACTTAATTTTACTGTTAATAGTCGATTCATTATCCAATTTCGCCGTTGCTGACTCATGATTAGATATTTGTTGATGAAATTTGTACCAGATTATTATTGTCTGAACTAATATTATAAAGAAAAAAAAAGTATTTTCTATGTTTATTAATTTGTTTGTAATGGACAAAGTACTTAACCGATTAAAAAATCCACCTATTTTGTGACGTATTCATTTTGAATGATAAATGAAGTGAAATTAATAAAATGCCATTTGGTTGTAAATACATTATCAAAGGAAGACTACAAAAGCTATCTGCTGTGATAACTTTGTCCTATTTGTGTTTTTGCCGTGAAGCAGTTGCGTTTGCAAGGCTGTGTTTTGGTTTAATGGGTTGAGACATAACAGCATAGTCCTCGGAAAGGCAACATATGAAAAGTATCATGGGCATCAATTAGTTTTATGTGACATCCATGATACTGTTAACATCTGTAGCTGATTGTTACCACTTTTCAATAGCCATTACCTTATTTACCTCACTGAGTTACATAAAAACATAGATAAATTGTAACTGTAATTTTTTTTTTGTTTATCATATAGGCACTTAATAAAGTGACAATTTGGCGCATTTATTAGAATGAAGTCATTTGTTTAATATGCCTGTGCATGCGCTCGTAAAATTACATCAACCACATAAAGAGTCATTGACATTCGGTAACACTGCCAAGTGTCATTGTAGCCATGTCCGAGTGGCCAACTGGACGTAACGTGATGTCCTTGGCGGCCCATATTTTGCATCTTGTAACATAATACAAATGAGGTGTTGCAATTGGCAATATCAAAATAAATATAATAAACAAAATGAGCAAAACTTATACTATCAGTATTTGATGATTTAAATACATTTTTTTTTAAATACATATACATTTTGTATAGAAAACACCCACAAACATATACAAGCGTAACGTCAAATGAATCTAATGGTGAGGTCCATTTGACATCTATTTGATGTGATATTTAATCCCAACTGGATTGCGTCAACAATCAACTTGTAAATAAGTGTAACTTTAACTTATTTACCTAATCAACACTCTAATGATATATATTATAGCCAGATCAATTTATTCATTTATAAATAGTAAAATCATTAAAATCGCTTAGGAATTACTTCGTGAAATCACATTTCCTCCTTATATTGAATATACAATTCTTAAATGCAAGAATTTTGGCCCAGTAGTTACATAGTTGCATAGCTTGACTTACGGCTCTGAGGCCAATATTGATAGAGACTAAACATTTTTATTCCTATAATATTTTTATGAACTTTTTTTCAATTACAAATACCAAACAAACATACTTAATTGGTCCAAAAAACCAGTGTGGTCGCCCCCCTACTGTTTTAGTTTCGAATAATCTTGAAGTAATGTGCCCAAGTCCAGTTTTACCACACGATGGTCACCAAATGGTACCAAATCATGCTTGCAATCCAAGTGAATGCAGAGATTCTATTTAGTACTAGCTTTTATCTCCGAGTTTGTTCGCGAGACTGGGGTATGTCCACTGATTGGTATAAAAATAGCCTATAACCTTCTTCGTGTCATATAGTACTTGTTTATCAAATTTCATAGTAATTAAATAAGGTGTTAAAGCGCTAATAGATAACAAACAAACTCACTTTCACATTTATAATATTAGTAAGGATTTATTATTGTGTAGTTTAGTGGTGGACGATAAAATAATGGAGGAAGAAATACAACTAATATTTTTTTTTAAAAAACTTCAAAATAATTTTATAAAGAGACAATAATTCAGTTCTAACGATTCATGTCACTAACTATTATCACCGAAATCTTTATAATACGGTCCAATATAAACTAAATTTCTAATAAATTTAAGTCGAAATTGTATAACTTACCCCCTTATTCATAAAAATTTGAAACCTCTCAAACCGATTTTAGCTATTGAACTGCTTTGTCTCTTTCGTTTGTGCTAAATTCCTATTATGAATGAAAGTAACGAAAGAGTGCAATAGTTAAAATAGGTTTGTAGAAGGCTTAAGTTTTTATGAATGAAAGTTTATGATGGTCCATAAAATAGTAATTTTTTACTTCTTCGCGAAACTTAAATTAAGATATAGATTCGAAGACAAATCGTCTCGGAATTAACACCATAGACTACTTAATTTTTATTCCGGTCAATCAAAACTGTTCAATCACGTAACGAAATCACGAGCACAACTAGTACGTATCTACATACGTAATAATTAATTACCTAAACGAACTCGACCTCTGATAACATACAAAGACAGCCGATGGCGGGAACTAAGCGGCATATTCTATCTTTGGCCTGCTTTCTACGCGAACCGATAAAATAGAAAGCGTATTAATTTCAATGAAAATAAAATAGTGATCTGATCCTAATTATCAATTAACCTTATGGCATATAAATCTGTTTTATGGTTAACAAGTTGGAAACCTGGCACCAGCTGTGAGAGCATGCTCATAGTACCTACCCCAATCTCTTATCTACCGGAAGTGCATTCGCCGGCGCCGGCGCAACCCAGATTATATAGCATTACTAATCCCCCGCTACTTGGGTTGCGTCAGCAGATTACTTCTGGTGACCTACCAACGGAAGCGTTGTATGGGTTTGTACAGCAAGTGTCATGGCTGTTCACCTATTTCTTCTGAATACCGCATACCATACCTGAATGAAGTGAAATGCTTGAGTGCAATGTTGCAGCGTGGTGTGATGTTGCGTACGCTACACGTGGGTCGCGCGGAGGACGGAGGGCGTACGGGCGGCGCGGGCGCATTCCGTCCGTGACGTCACGCCCACCCAGAGCGCTCGACATTCACCTCGCTGCGCCGTTCGCCCGAACCGTTCCTCAGCTCTCGCTGTATCTCTGCCATTATTATTGCTGTGATATTTATTTATGTTCTTTTTATTTATTCTCAGCGACCAAAACAATTCAGCTTAGGCGAGAAGTAGTCGATAATTCTGCGAACTATCATAGATACAATAGAGTCCCACGGAAATGCGCTTGCGCAATTCAATATACAGAATAGATATACCATAACAAATAAACCTGATTCTATGAAGACCTATATTCGCTACAATCAGCTAAACCAAAATAAATCCTTGAACGAGACAAAGAGCGTTACAAACATTTTATCGTCTCTAATTATCAGAGTCCTATGTTGATATAAATGTACCCACATTAACAAGAAAAAGACATTACGAAAATAAGGGCATATCTGCTTCGAATCTTATAATCGCTGCGTTCAACACGAGACGTCGATTGAGTTATTATTATGCAATTAGTGAGCGCTTGTCGAGACTTTAGTTCGCTGGTGCCGGCCCATCTCGTGTTCGAGCCGACTGTACTGTGGCGCCACGGGTGCGCTCCGCTCGCTCGCCGACCAACGACCACCGACTCTCGCTGTCAGTCATTAATCACAATCAACTGAGAAATTATTTCGACGTTTAAAAAGTTCGGTGTTATTATAATCCTCATAAGCAACGTAGGTTAAGAGAGCAAAAGGTCCATCTATGCTGACGCAGCAGGTCTTGAATGGAAAGGCTACTGTTTGTTGGCTGCAACAATTGAGTTCTACAGTTGCAATAGAAGTGTCGATGTCTTGACACGCATTTAAAATTAATTAATTATACTTTATTTCGAGTGTTAGTACTTTTGATGTTTTATGTCTTATAAAAAATGCCTATGATGAAATATGCATCAAAACTCTTTCAAATTAACAATATTTTTATCGAAATTAAAATTCTGTAAACACTAGTAGGTAAATAAATATTACAATAGCAAATACTGTAAATAAGTAGTATCAAGTAGTCTCCCTCTGAGAACAAAGGTATGAAATTTGGTATACCAATTAAAATAACATTATCTCTAATTACAACAGCTGAACAAATTTAAATAAAATTTACTATAGTAAATATTTGTAATACCCGTATTCCCCCAGCATAGAATGGCCCGACCTTTCCTTTCCCGTGAGTGTCGTAAGAGGCGACTAAAGGTATTTAATGATCGAAAGATGGGTAACAGCATACCTCTTAAACGTTACAAAAGCCCAACTGCAGTTGCCAACACGCCTGCCAAGCGTAGCAACTATTGCAAAACCCTCCAAAAGGGATGCCTATGTTCTGCAATAGACAGCTAATGGCTGATATAACAATAATAAATTATTTATAATGCACTCGTATTTGTAAATTTATCAACAGAGATAGGGATGGGAAGAACTATATATATATATATATATATATATATATATATATATATATATATATACATAACTAAGGAAAAGTTTGAACTTGATAAAAGCAAGGACAAGGAAAGGGACAAGGATTTAAAGAAATGTATACCTATTAAAAAAAGAACATTGCATGCCTCAGTATTGTGACATGATGTACGTTTATTTATTTGAGTTAATTTAAAGTAAAATGTTAATATTGTATTGCAGGGCAACATCGAAGGAGGGCGGACCTCGCTGTGGATCAGGGCCTGGCTCCAGGAACAGCTCTTCATACTCGGGTGCTTTCTCCAGGGTGACGCCGGGAAAGTTCTTTTCGTCGCTATCCTCGTGCTTTCCACTTTCTGCGTCGGTCTCAAGTCAGCACAAGTCCATTCAAGAGTCGACCAACTTTGGGTCCAAGGTACAATATTTTACTAATTATTCTTACTATTTTTTTTATTATGATTTCTTCAGTCAGATTTTATATCGCCTATAGACAGTTTTTTATGGTGAAAATGGAATGGTATCCCCACCAGCGTCAACGGTATACACTGGCGGAGTACCTGTGAATAGTGATAGATGAGAATGAAAACAGGCCAGTTAGCCCATCAGGATGAATTCATCAGGAATTAACCACGATAGTTTCTAGGTGGGAACACCTGAAGGTCCACCTGGTTGGGTATATTTCTAGCAATGGGATCCTTAGTCTCTATTACTAGCAATCTCTTTTGCTGTAGACTGTTATAGTAGACCTATAGATAGATTTCGCTGTTAAATCATAGGTTTCTAATCATAGGATGTGAATACTAAGAGTTATATTATACTCTGCGGCGTATCGTTCATCCCTCGGAATATAAATGCACCAATGTTGGGCACGTCAGTGGAGCCGCTTCCTTCTCAACGGAACGTGTGTTGCATGCGTACTGCGAGAACATAGCGCACCGCGGTGTGTTAGCGCCTTTATGCGACAAACTCGAATTTAATCGATGAATTTTAATTCACCGATAGACAATCTATAGCACAAGCGTCCGGTATGCCGCTTGGTTTTATTTATTTCTTAATTAAGTGAAAACTATTCTTTCAACAATAGTAAAGCTTAAACTGAATACCGATTCATGATAAATGTGATGTATCTATATTATATTTTTGAGTTAATATTAAAACGCATTGTGTTGCTCGGAAGGTTTTAAAAGCTAATCTATCTACCTACTTGTGTGTAGAACATTGCTATTGCTAGAATTTTAATTTATAATATTTATTGGTAGAGAGTATTAAAGAAGGAATGAATTAAATTTACTATGGTCCATAAAACAGTAATTTCGCGAAACTATCAAATAAAAATATTGGACTAAGAGATAAGTTTAGAGAAATGGTTCCTCAGAATCAACCCTATTGTGAAATTTGTCATAGGGTAATTCGTTTACGTAACCAATCGTAGTGGTTAAAATCGAAACCACTAGCATCTTTGTATGGAAATATTCTATTACTAAAACCAAATATGTTTCCAAAAAAAAACATGGATTGGAACACGTTAACAAAATTAGCTCATATGGACGTATTTCTTAGAGAACATTTTTGTTTCTCTATGATGCTAATGTTTACAGTTTCCCGCTGTATAGCTATTTCCGATATGTTAATGACACGGTGGTAAGAGTTTGCGTGATCATCCACAACTACTTATTTATATCGTGCTCGTACGATTCCGGAACTGAACTTCAGAAGGGCAGGATACATGTTTATGCGGGCCGGCGGCGGTGAGCAGTGTGCAGCGATTGCATTTGCGCCCGGCAAAGTACAGCCAACATAAAAATAAATTGTGTTAAAAATATATTTTATCCTTTCGGTTCATAATTTATGTTTGGGTAGCTATAAATTGTAACATTACTTGCATGAATTAAATAAAATAATATCTCATTTGTTAATGGAGAAATGTCTACCAAAATTCATTAAGATCCTTAATTTCAAAGCGGTTTTAGTTTAATTCAGTAACAGACATCCAAAGATCTTCAAACTTTCGCATTTACAGCATTAATGGGATAAGTTGTGAAGATGATTGTTTTATCATAAAATCAGGTGATTATAAACCTTATACCATAAACTACTCTACGTCTGCTGTAAAATGAAATATTTAACCGTAATAATATTCAGATAGAAGTGACAGTATTCCTTATTTATATAGTTTAATAGAGTAACAATATGACGTACATATTTTGGTTTATCATTAATGAATCACATTGAATAATATGTCATAATGAGATTATTAAGTGACATACCTACGTATTTATTACGAATAGTTGAAAGGCTACATATTTAGCATTTTGTTAAACAGAACAGATATTTTCGTGTCAATTAAAATTTCAGTAAATTATTAGGTACTTAATAATTCATGAAAGTAAACAACTTCCTCCTAATAAAATGATATAAAAGTGAAACCGATCATATTAAATCTATCACGTAATTATTTTAAGTATATTATTTTCATATTGATTCGATTTCATGTTGTCACTGTATAACTATAATATAAAATCTAAAGCTGTATAATAATCCATTATAATGAAAATTCCACACTCTGTACATATTCATTCTACATAATATTATGGTAACTAGAGAGCAGTGGTCACGAAACCATTTCTAGTCTTGGTTTCGCAGATTATACCTATCATTATAACGGTATGCAATTGATACAAACACAAGGAATCGAAATTGAGTAATTTGATAAGTAATGAGTATATCCGTAATGGTAAATAAATTTGAATTTAATAGGTACAAAATTATAAAATGAAATCTTTTGATATCTATAGTGAATACAGATAGCATATTCAAACAGCGTAGATTTACGGGCCGTATGCTTGTTTGCCACCTCAGGGATATAAAAAAAATAGATCAACATATTATTTCTTGTTTATTTTATAAAATATTATTTTTTTACATCGTCGATAAATATTTAAGTAGACATTATGTACGGAGGCATAACACTGTAGTCCTCAGGAATGGCAACACATGATAGTACCATAAGAATAGCAGTAAATTTCATCCCAACCATCTGGACGAGTGGCGGTCCTCTACCGTGCGTTTTTCAAGGCACTTTCTTCCACGCACAACCACTCTTTGGAATCAACTTCCAGCAGCAGTATTTCCGAACCGATACGACAACATAACTTTCAAGAAAAGAGCATATTCCGTTTTAAAAGGCTGGCAGCACACCTGCAATGCCGTTAGTGTTGTGGGTGATCATGGGCGGCGGTAGTCACTTACCACCAGGTGAGTCGCATACTCGTTTGCCCCCTGTGTTGTAAAAAAAAAAAAGTATACACCGTACATAGTTTCCACCAAAAGGGCAGTCACTTTGTTTACTCCAAGTTTTATAAAAATATTATTCTTCATATTTGTATACAATAACCTCTTAATTAAAATATTCTCAGAGTATATACTTAATAAATTTTGGTAGTAATGTTAATTATAGTATGTGTATACGGTTTTAAAATCAAATAAATGAATAAAGAGGAAAATAATTGTGACGAACATCTACAATATGACACAAATACGACTAAACTAATGCTACAGGAATTAGACAAGCGAACAACAAATATTTTATATAACAAAAAAGGAAGGGAAAAAACTTATAATAAAAAAAAAAAGTTTGCAACATATTTTCAATTACATCAGTATTGTTTGGATTTATTTTTTACACATTATTTCAAATATTTAATGTACTTATTTAAGTTACGTGGAAAAGTCCTTGACAAGCTCACAAAAGGTGAGTTTTGCTTCTTTTTATTCCTTAGCCTCTCGCGGCTTTGGGTGGTCCCTGATTACTTTTTATGGTTATTTGGGATCGTAGGCATTAATAAATTAATCGTATTTTTGTTTGTTGATTGCTTCAATTACTCTGTTCACTAAATTGATTTAGTCCTCTTAAGAACTTGAGATACAATCACTATTTTTATATTCTTCTTGTGTTTACAAATCAATAAGAATGTATAAAAAAAAACTGCATATATTGCATACATTATTCTCGTACATATTCGCAGGTAGATTTACCCATTGCATCAAACTGGCAAAAAATCCGACAAGTGCGGACGTTACAAAAAGGAAGTGGGCGATTTTATGATGCACCTGTCGAGTCCCGGCCACCGCAGCATACCTACGACAATTTTAAGCTTTTCAACAACTCAATCTGCATGAATCATTTATATACCTACAATATTATCATTCAATGTCACACGCTTTTTATGAACAACACCTGACCATAATTTTAGATTAATCGGTTGATTCACCAATCAAATAAGTCCGTTAAGTTCTTTTGTCAGTGACATTATAATAGAAACATCAAATGTCCGTCGATATTAAGACCTCAGCTACTGTCCCAACAAATATATTCAAAAAGCCACACAAAACCTTATCGCAGAACAAAGCCGCCTCTGTTAAACAATGCCGAAGGTCCTGGAGTCGTCTAACAACTTAATTAGGTGGCCCACGGCCGCCCGTAAATATCCCTACGTGAAATTACGACCAATAAAACTAAAAAAATGTATAACATTTCTATTGAAGCACAAAAAACGAGGGACCCGATTGTTCGTCCGCTTTTGTGTGAAGATGAAGTCTTACTGCGTGCCGTGCTGAGCTGTGCCTGTTCCACACTAACCTTTTGTCGATTCAAACTCTCGCTTTGGTATGCATTTCTTTGCAGTAGAAAAAAAAATACAAGTTTAATATCTATAATATATTTTCTGATATAAAATATACATGATGATAAAAACGGTAATAGAATTTGCATTGGTATTTGACAATAGCTATGTCGGCTTATGTTCACTTGTGTACAATTACAGTCAAATGAATTAATTATAGTCTGAGTAAATAAGCGGAATAATAAGCGAAATAAGAACGCTTTAAGGGAAGGGTATAAATTATGTAAACACATTTGTATTGTTACCAATATTAGAACTACCTAAATTTTATAGGGATATTAGAAAATAGATTATATTTTGGGGTCACTTTAGAAAATGTGTAAGATCTAATGGGTATTAGATTATTATTATTTTTTTGTAATTATTTATGTATAAATAACACATAGGAAAAAGAACAAACATAGCCATGAATACAAACGTTTGTAATCATTGTACAGAAATAGCACCTATTGCCCTTACGAGAGGTGAAGCTGTGTGTTAAAGTACTACACTACCAGCTTCGGTAATAAGATGCTTGTATACAAATGACATGGTAGACACATTACAGTAATGGTAATGATAGACAATACTACTTAAAAGAGTATTTATTCTCCTCCTACTACTAACTGTTATTAAATTGTTGAAAAGGAATCTATTTTATACTCTAAGAAAAATCTGATTGTAACGATTCTTAAATATATGTACTCAAACATGCGTGATTGATTAACATTGCTTTTATTCTCGACTTCGTTCA